CTCCTGCTCACTTTAACCAGGAGCCATGCCTCGGCTAAACCAGATCGAATGTTGCCAATAGTGAGAATATAGATGATAAAGACAATTTCCTGTAGTATGCTGCATGTGCGAACAAGCAAAGTTTGTGAGTTGATACTCACTTGCACACTTGACACAATTAAATTTTTTAAATATTCACAACATATACTTTACATCAGCAAAACCACAATCACCATGTTGGTCAAACTAAAAAATTAATGATTTAAATTAAAATCATGCAGCCTGGGATAGGCTCCAGCCCCCCCACAACCCTAGTGAGGATTAAGCGGTGTATAGATAATGGATGGATGGAAATCATGCAGCCCCCATTACAGATCCACTACTTTTTGAATGAAAACATACACATTCTGTAAGTCATGGCCTTCCCTATTTTTTCCTCCCCCCTTTCTCCCTGGCTCTCCGTCTCTCCCTTGGGCCCTGCTGAGTCTAGCAGTGGAAGTACCGGCTTGAGGCCCCTGGGGCTTCTCTGGCCCCACCTGCATTCTGATAGAATGAGACCAGATGAGCTCAGGAAAGGACTGGATGTATTAAAGCAGCAAGGGGCTTTAAAACACGAGCAGCCCAGAATGTTTTGCACAAGTACAGCAACACAGGCATACATGAAACTACTACAATGTATGTATTCACTTTTATACACGGTTCCGAGAAGCACTTTTTAAAAAAAAGAAAAAAGAAAGAAAGAACTCTACTAAAAAGCTCGACACACCCAAACAGCAAGAAGCAGCCACATGCTTAGCACATGTGCTGTTTTACCGGCACAGATTTGCAAAACCGCGCGTGCACGCACACACTGATACTAATGAAAATAAAGCCAGGAATATTATGGGAATGTTAACAACTTCATCATTATATGATGCCAAGCAAAACTCTATAAAACTGACCCAAACCGCTGAGCTAATTCCAACACAATCAGCAGAGGAAATTGACTTTTTCAACAACACACCACAGAGGCTAGCGCTCCACAGATTTCCCAGAAATGTTCACTGTTTGACCAGCCTGTTCAACTTAAGGAACAGATAAGAAGAGAGAAACTTCCCAGTCTGGTAGCTTAAAAATAGCCACAAAGCATCAGAATCTTGCCATCGCCTCATCTTTGTTGACTTTCAAATCCAAGGGGAGGATGAAAGATGACACACAGGAATTTTTGCATGAGTCTTCACGCTAGGTTGACACTGCTATGACCAAGCACGGGCATGAGTCACAACTATGACTTGCCCACCGCATGAGTGAAGTAACTTTAGATGTAATCTGATTGTAAGCGGTGATGTGAAGGTAACTTGAGTAATGCGCCTGCATGACGAGCACAAGCTCATCAAATTGAGTTAAAATGATACTACAAAAGGAGCCGTCATTGCGATAAAGTCATCGCTAATGGATCCTGAAACAGAAAATGGAATTTTGAGAGTCCCTTTTGTGCTGAAGCGCTGAAGGGTAAGTGTTAAAGTTGCAGAGTCATAATGACATTACTTTATAAAACAGTGTGCAAGCTTGTGTAGACAACAGATGAAAAATACACAGAAAATCAAACCTTCCTACTCCACCTGAACTAAGCAGATGTGTAATTGATTGTGACACACTTACGACGCCATTTACAGGACACACTACGCATCTTAGATGTGTAACTTATTTTGTAAACAGACGACAGCAAGGCGGACAAAGAATTGCAGCAAGCACACTGAAGTTTTCCTTATTTAAGACTCTATGGACTGTAAATGTAGATAGTAGTTCTGTATGCTACTTGTATAAACGCTGTCTCTGGTGTCATGTTAGTTTAATCCCTTAACTGATTCTTAAACCACAGTTGCCTGTGCAGAATACGGAAATTTTTCTACGCGGTTTTAGGATATTTTTCTGGTTAATATTATTCTGTTCAACTTTTTTTCAATTCAAACGTTGACAACTAATTCAGCGTAACGTACAGTATTGTGCATTTTATTCATTGTTGCAATGTGTGGGCTTAGCTGCGAACGCACATCTGAAAGTCAAGAGTTACTTCGTGGATAATCGGTATACTGAACTTGTTTAATAGGAAACATGCTTCAAAGTGGTGACGACAAAAATCAGTACTTCTTGTCAGAATGTCTACAGAAAAATCACAGCAAAAACAGGATGCAGAGAGATGAGCGGAAGTGATGTTCTGTCTCTGCAGGCAGCCGTATGTACCACTAATTACGTGAACACATAAGTTAAACTAAATCTGTGGGTTGAACTGTATCATGGAATGTGATTTAACCCAAAAGATCTTTTGACTAGATAGCCTACCCTAGCCACTCTAAAAGTGTTTACAGCAGATGGACGATAACTTTTCAATACACTGGTCAGGTCCAGCATAAATAAAGCACAAGTAATTAAAATTACAACGGTCGTTTTATATGTTACAGAGCTAAAGATACATACAAACACATATAAGCAAAGATGTATTGCAAATTCTGCTTCTGATGTTAGCGTACATCCAAGTTGTGGTTCGCTATTAAACCTGAAACTCTGACAGCACTCTCTTCTAATCTTTAATTCTTCTTTGTGAGTAGCGTGAACGGACGAAATAAATCACATTTAAAGCACATTTACCAATTGATGGCTGTCTGTAGAGCACTTGCTTATTGTATAGAACAACTCAGGATGTGATTTGTTGCTTCCCATGTTCACAAATTTCCAATCAGTGAGTACACAGATCAATACCTCAATGTGCACAAGTCAGACAAGACTACAGTGAAGAGATCCTGCCTTGAGCAGCTTTCACCAGCCTCCCCCTCTCCCTAAAGGAATTTCATTAGATGCTCACTGATGGTGGTTGCTTTTCATTATTGATGCAGGATTGTAAACTTTGCTCACGTGAGACCCAGGTTAAACTGAGCGATAAAGCACAATTTAAAGTGTTCAGTTGAGAGGGAAAAAAAAAAGAAGCAGACACCAGACATTTGCCTTCTGCCACAGGAAGTCAGCCAACCACAAACCCTGCAAAGACGCAGTGTTTCCGTTGTGATGTGTACCGACGCTCTATTGCTTCAAAATGGCACAAAGGATGCTGCTTCACGCTCCACGAGCATGTTGCAGATACATCCAGATACTTACAAGCAATAGTGCTTCAAACAGTATGAAACAAAACTAAAAAAGAGAAGACAATTTTAAAGTGAATCCCGTGTGCTTATATTTACACCCACGACCTGTGAATATAGCACAACGTGGACCACTGAGACAGCACCAGCATCACTCTTTCCTGATTTTATCCTGCCGTTGTGCATACTGAGCTATCCTGTGCAGATGGCTGAACCCACTTCATGTTAAATTAATGATCCTGGGGTGCCACGGAGTAGCCTGGCTGTAAAAAGCCCTTACAGCAGGCTTCCCCTGCAAGGCAAATGAGGTGATGGGTTCCTCTATCCATCTTCCTTCTAGGAGAAAGACAATAACCCAGCCAGGCATCTGATGTCTAAATGAAGTGACTTTCTGTGTGTGTATCTGTGTCTGCTCCTGTGCAACGCATGTGCATGTCTGTGTGTGTGTGTGTGTGTGTGTGTGTGGTATGAGTCATTAGTGAATCCCAGCGGTCTGCTATAGTAGTGAGAGAATGCACGGCATCTCCCGTCTCTCACCTCGACTGTAGAGGAATCAGATTTCTGGATCAATGACAGTCACAACCATCTGATCACATAGAATTTTTTTTTAAAAAGTGACCTAATGAAACAAATCTAGATCCAATTAGTCACTTGTCTTTCTCTGCCTCAGGAAATTTAAAAAAAGTGCTAGTCAGAGAACTCTTTAGTGTGATTTCTAAGGGAAAAAAGGTGTATCAAGCTGTATTTCTGTTCAGCACAAATTCCATATTTTCTCTGCTTTCTGTATATGAACCCTTTTTTCGGACTCTCAATTCATAGCTTTAGGAAGTTCATTCACTCCAGGACAAGCCATTAAGAGAAAGAGAGAGAGACACCAGACACCAGTACAGAGCAGCGATAATGGATTACTGATGTTATTATGGTTCAATAAGGCCTCTAAATGACATTCTCTGATCCACTGCCAGGACCACAGTTCTGTTTTGAGTGTGTATGTGTGTGTGTGTGTAATGTATAACATACATTTATAGCATGTGTTTTATCTTATTACCTCATTAGCATTATATCATCACAAATTGGGAACACCCAAAGATGCAATAAAAAAATAGGAAAGAAAAATCTCGTGGTGCATCCTGTACAAGAACAGTGGAGGATCTTGTGACTCTTTAGGGCATTCTGCTGCTTTCGTCACTTATTTGCCTTGTTGGTTAATCAATTATAGGGAAAATGAATGTCATTAATTGATCAAGCGATCAATGAATCAATTGTGTTTTAAGGCATTTAGGAGAACAAATGTGCATTCATCTACACAGCAGCAGAAATAATACCTGAACTTCAATCTCTCCACATTCTGAACTAATGTTAAAGTAATTCTTAGGGATTATTAAAAGACAAGCTTATTTTTTAGCATAACCCTTGACTATTGGCGCTGTCAAAAATACACACGGTTAAAGACAAAATGTGCTAAAAACGTAAATTTGAGGGGGAACCTGACATTTGTGACATCAAGAACTTGTAAACCCGCCTGTCCTGTTAGGTTTAAATGACTAAACTGAACAAAATCCTCTTCCATTTGTTAACCAGTCAGCTGTTGCTCCCAGCATGCATCTGTTTATTCCTTTGTCAGCCCCCTTTCCTATCTGCCACCCACAGAGTCAGCAGACAGCAGTGCACGCATGTGTGTGGCAGCCTCAAAATGGCCTGCTTTTCCCCCCAACACTGCAAGTTTCTAAACAACAGGTGCCTTGAACCAGGAGTGACTCACATGCACAATTATGGGCGCACAAACACACATGTATACCACACACACCAACAAAGAAACCCTGATCGATGTGAAAATGCTCCAAGACAAAATGATGGAGCAAACGTATAGGGAGGCAATCATTTTCAGTTTTTGTTTCCTCTTACCTGGTTGTTGACATAATCCTGGGGATGCGACACAACAGCAGAACATGAAAAGGGAACAGAAACAACAAGACACAGTCAGAATAAGAAGTATGCAAATTTGCTATGTCTGTGTGTGGTGAGAGTAGAATTCGTAGAGAAAAGTGAGTATTCACTTAACTATGACCACAGAATAACACGTCACAGCACAATCATCTCTTGTGTCTGCACTATATTCCTCTCTTGCTCCTCCTGCTCTCCAACCTTGCCTTAATTTAACCCAGGCCTAAAGTAAGTCTGTGTTTCCAGGACTTTTGTTTTTGCCCCGCTTCTCTGGAGCAGTGCTGCGCTAGCACATCAGAGCAGATAGCCTATCCATAATAAGTGCAGTCACAGGACAGAATGTGACGAGATTCTGTGATGCTGAAGGCGAGAAATGTAATTTAAAAAAGTGGAACAATCACCAAGGGACCAGAGAGGCAGGTAGGGTCGACGGAGGGAACTTTAAGCTCTCCATTAAGCCCCTTTGTAACGCCCCAGGGAGCTCTGCATGAGCTGGGAAAAGTGTGTATGTGAGGTAAGTGCTGAAGTTTGTGTGTGTGTGTGTGGCCCTCTGTGACTGTGTGTGTGTGTGTGTGTGTGTGTGTGTGTGTGTGTGTGTGTGTGTCAGAGCGTGGCTTCTGGTGATTAGTTAAAACTGTAACTGACACACTGTTGGCCCCAGTGATCCTATCAAAGGGAGGGAAACTCAAGTTTACACACAGTACAGACACACTCAGTTTCAATACTTTCTTACTTAGACTGGTTTAGAAAACTCATGCAAAACACTTGTACAGTATCAAGATGCCCTCAGGGACACTGAGCTCATTTCTTTCGACAAAGTGATGTTTTTATTGAATAAAAAATGTAAGCGACATAATAATATATTTTTAATGTTCCTCTTTTCTGTGACAAAACTGTTCTGTACCACTCTGCAGCTGATATAAACAATCAAAAAAATAATTTTCATACGCCACAACCTTCAGTCTTTTTCATCATATTCTAAATCTAACAGCAAAAGCAAACCTTAGATGAGACTGAACAGACTGGAGTTCTAGAAAATCTATCAGGATTTTAAAAGAAGCTGAGGAGACTTTCCAACTTGAGTCATCTGCCACTGCTCAGACTGAAAGCAGTAATTAGTCAGGACATCAGTGAGATCTAGAAAACCAGGCATTTAAAGACTTTTGAATTCTTTGACAATTTAAAGACCCACAGAAACAACCAATAAAGCCAGCTATGCATGTTCAGTATAGGAAATCTAGAGCAAAGAGTGGCATCGTGTTCAGTTAAGCTCCTTCAATTGGTGAAACAACAATGTAAATACTACAGAGGTCCAGCTTTAGCCGTTAGCTGGTAGTGACGGTTTTATTCCTACCGTGTTGTAGCCTGCGGGTTCTTGGCCGTCTGTGATCAGTTCCCGCTCTCCCCTGGGGTTGACCCTCCTGAAGCGCCGCCTGGACCTCCGCTGCGACCCCTCTCTCTGCAGGAAGCTGTCGTCCCCCTCACTGCCGTTATCCACCTGTAATACACAATCGACACTTTCCTCAGAGTAGTAGCTTCTGTAGGAGTTGCGCCCATAACCTTCAGGTGCACGGGAGCAGCTGGACGTCTCATCCACGTAGTTTGAGACTTGAGAGGATGGCTCAGAGCAGCTGCGTTTTAGTAGCTCAGACTTCTGGACTTGTGTATATTCCACATTCTGGGCGTCACTTTCTGATTTCTGCCTCTTATATTCCAAGTTTTGCGGTTTATTTTCTGTCAGATTCTGCAAGTCCAAGTCATGATCCTTGAGTGTTTTCCCTTCGATTTTCTGTGGTTCTGCGTCTTGCTCTGGAACTTCTGAGATCTGGCCCTGCTCTTCTGCTGGCTCCTGGTTGAACATCCAGTTCTTCCACAGCGCAGAGAGCCGGTGCCAGCGGAGCACACTCATCCGGACTCAAGGACAGGATCAGAACAACACATAAAAGCAGGAAATACCACAAGGGAGGGGGGGAAAAAACAGCAGGGAAACACTTCTGTACAAAAGATGAATAGAAGTGCTGCGTCCAAAATTTTTTTAAAACAAAGTCCAAAATCCGGGGGGATCCCGCGATACTACATCCTCAGGGGCAACCATTCAGAATAACAAAAGAAAAGAAAAGAATCAAATTAAATGGACAAACAAACGGATCGACCACGAGGACGGCAAAACAAGCGCCGCGTCTTCTTTCGTCTCAAATTTGGCGAGCGCTGTCGTCTTCTGAGGGCCAGAGAGTTCAAGGAAGAGTTCAGCTGCTCAACACGTTGCATACTGACAGACTTACTCACATGCTCGCTCTCTGGCGCTGTCTGACACGCGCACAGAGCATACACTGAGCCCACAGTTTCCTCCAGGAAACCGTAAATACACAAATATCCTCAGCAGGCAGAAAAAAGAAAAAAAAAACAGCCCAGCACACAGATTCCGGCCATACAATTCATTCCCCGTAGACTTTTTGTGCTGGTCTGTTGTTGAAGGAGGAATTTGTTTTCTTTCTCCATTGCATAATGTTAAGGAAGTCAATAGGCTTACTATGTCAGTAATGACCTCTTTTTTAAAGAATTTTTTAAATACGTTACCCGATTCCTTTGCCTCAATTTTGCAAAGCGGTCGGTTTTGTTGTTTTACTTTTATTTTCTACTGTTTTTGTTGGTTTAGTTTGCTTTTTTCAATTTGAATATTGGTTTTGCACAAGATAAATGTTCTGCAAACTAAGCATCCCACCTCTAACCCTCTTCGTACTTCTATAAAACTGTCAAACTCACCATGAACACTTCATCAATCTAGACGGATCAGAAATATTGCATTAACTTTTCTTCCTTGTCGAAACCCATTGCCCACAATGCAACTTGACTGCTGACAGTTCTCTTGAAGATTTGGCTGTTTTATGCAAGTAGTGGCCAATAAAGCCTCAAGCCTCTAACCTCAAGCAGAGATGCGGAAAAGCCTACAGAAGTTTGGGTTTGCTCGCTTCTAACATCAAGATTTTATTCCATTTTCTGAATGGTTGTCTTGCCCCAACCAACATGAGGAAACTTTGTGCAACTGGAGTCGGAGAAGGAACTAAAAACACACTTTGATGCATGAAATCTGCACGTCGCCACTAATATAACTTTACAATCTGTAACAGGTTTAAGAGAGATTAGCATTATTTAATGTTTTTGCCCATTTATTTGTCCACCCATCTCTCTGTTATGATATTGGAGCCAAGATGCAAATTATTTGTATAGTGAATAAAGCTTCAATTCACTTAGATTCTGACTTGGCATTTCATCATGCCTTGTTTAAGGGTTTGTTGGGACTTTTTTGTCAGCTGTAAATCCCTAGTTTCAGAAATAAACTCCATCCTTGTCTCTGTTCAGGACAATGATTTGACAATTTGGCCCCTTTCTACAAGTGCACCCTATGTTTCTGTTTTCCTGGTCAGACTGACTGTTGTTCAGCGTTCCAGTTTGTCAGGCTTTCTGTCAGCATGTCTGCTTGTGTGAGAAGCCAAGAGAAAAATGAAATTAACCGGATCCACGTGCTGTGTCTGGACATTTTTGAGCTCCATCATCTTGCCCCTCCTCCTTATGTCTCTTTGTCTGACTTATCTCCACTTTCTTGTCCTTTATCCTTATCATTTCCCTTGTTTGTGACTTCTCTCTTATACTTGTTCTACGCCCTGATCTACTGTTCTTTTGCATCTAGTTATATAACACATCAAATACATCAACTAATACATAAAGTGTCCAATTATTAATGTATCACATTATTAGCATCCTTTGCACACAGTGATGTACCTGGGGCCACAGATTTCCATCATTTTTCCTGCACATGACCAAATATATGTCAAGTGTGTCTAAGTATTTTTAGAGGTGTGGGAAACAATTCCATTGCTTATTGCAAAGACTGTGAACTGTGCTTTTGCTGTCTGACTGTCTGAGGATCAACATTCTGAATTGAAACACTAAAACAGAACAATGTAGTGTTAATTGAAGCAGTGAAAAGTCAGAAATGATAATAAAATGTACCATTGCTTACAATATAGCCAAAGACAAGCTACCCTTAATTAAGATCCTCCCTTTGAAAAAGAATGCATTTCATGTAGGAAACATTTATATGCACCTTTATGCCTGTTCACATAATGTGGTAAGAACTGTGTATGGGAACTGACAAAAAAGGTAACACTTAAAATGCATTATTCAGTGTAAAAAAAAAGAAGTTTGTGTTTACCTAAATGAAAGCAGTGTGAAAAGTTAGTCTGAAGCTCTGTTATAGAATAAGTATATCAAAACTCAGGTTAGACAGTTTAAGTAAAGCAAGACTGAGTTAAAATGTGTGAAGCAGAGGCGCTGGGTTTACTGGGGGAAGGAAACTGAAGATGGAGTTGTCAGACAAGAGAAAAAGAAGAAGGCACAGAGGAGGGGAAGGAAGTTACAGAATTTCATCATTCATTCATGTATGTGGACATGTTTTGCAAAGGATGTGAAATGGCTTAAATTCATCTTTCAACTTTTCAACCCCTTGAACCTACAATGTGTTAATGTGCTAAGTGTGGGAGAAAAAGACGTCGCAGTGTACAGATACCACAAACAAGCGACCATTGTGAGGTCAGTAATCTTAAATATATAGACCTGTGACTGACTACAAAGGCTGATGAGGAGACGTGACAATTGTGTTCGTGTGTTTGTGTTGAGAGGAAAATAGAGGACAAACAACCACATGAGACTGTGCCGTCTGCCTTCCCGTATTCCCACATGGAACATGCAATAAACCTGATGAAACCTAAGAACTATGAAAAGACTCAAATTATATTTCTCAAAGGTAAACATCACAAAGCAGGCTGGAGTTAAGACAACATCACACATCAATCAGAAAAGAGCTTTAAAATAAACCAAAAGCGAAAAGATGGACCCAAAGATTTTCTGTCACATTTCAAACGGGGCTCAATAGCTGCTTGGGTGGAAACGGACAGAGGAACAAGCTTGCGTTAAGGAGTTTTGCTGTAATATACAGAGTAACTACGGCACTGTGGGTAGTTAAGATGTGATTGACTCTGAAACAACTGTATGAAGGATAGTTGAGCTGTAAAATACCAAATAACAGTTGTAAAAAGGGGCCGGTATTGGTATCGATGTGTCCCTTCTCGCGGCAAAAAATGTCATCTCGCTTCGTTTTAATGGGCCTCATGAGACAGAGAGCCTGAAGGTAATACACAAGAAACTATGGGGGGAAGGTTAGAAATGCACCACAAGCTCATGTCTAGTCTCTGACCGTATAACTATCTTTTTGTCTCACTGTGCATGTGCCTCTTTGGCTGCTTGACCGAATATAACCCCGGTTTATCCCATGACCGGTTATGTATCTTGACAGCCGCTGCTATGAAATTACCATATTTCCTGTTGCCGCTGTGCATTTAAATACGTGTGTGATGGACGTCATGTCTCACTTCACATTCCTCTCTGTTTATCTGATGCTTTTCGCCTCCTCATGCACCATCCTACTTTTTTAGCTGTGTTCACTCATTCATCCCTTGATTACCTCCGTCTTCCCACTGCTTACTTCCTTTCATTTCCCTCCATTCCCACCACACACAATTAAAAAGCAGCCCCGCCCTGTCAGTCTGTGAATGTCACTCCTGTCCATCCTGTGACCAGAGTCATGACGAAAGCCACAGATTACATTCCCTCTACTATTCCCATGGCCCTAATTAGCTGATTGGCTGCAGTGCAGTGTGACTAGACCACAGTCCCTCTGCTCTCGTATGCATTTATCTAGGAGTGTGTACGTGCATGCGAGTTTGTGTGCGTTTGGCTTTTCTTGTCGTGTTGAGTGCTCAGCGTTGTGGCAGTTACTCAAGAATTCCTCCAGTTTTTTTGTTTTTTTTTCTGATGGCATCATTGATAATAAGCACACACTTCTGCACATCGCTTCCCAGAAATCACTTGTCAATGACCAGTGCCATGGTCTCCTAAAAAAATAATTTAAAAAAACATGCCACTGTTTTCTTTGTCTGCCCAACTATTGTCAGTCAAGCTCACTTTCCAGTTTTTTGACATTTTATTCCAAACAAGTGGCTGCTGTCTGAAATCTAACATGCATCCATTACTGCACTGTAAGTCGAAAAAGCTTTACTAGGAAAGACATATCTGACAGGAAATGTTAGACACTTCAGTCACTGTGTATAGGAGGCAGAATGCTGACTACATTATCTACCTGGCAAAAAGTGGGGTTCTGTTTTATCTCGACAGGTTGCAGATAAAACACCTGACAGCCATCTGCCTGCACTGGGCATCCATGCAGAGAAAAAAAACAGCACTATATTCACAGTGAATCCACTCCTTAGTCTTCAAAAGGTAGAAAACAACCATGTGAATCTCCTGATATGACATTAGCAACCTCACAACTAAAACGTTTTATTTTCCAACCTCAACTGCCATTAAACCCTCTGAATCTCAAAGCCCACCAGAGGGTATGAAAGGTATGAAAAATAAGCTCTTTGATCAAACCAGATTCTGTAAAGGAAAAACAACAAACAGTTCTGCACTTTAGTAAGTAGTAATGAATGACTCAGCTGTGACAAACGGTCATGTGAAAAGAAATTCAGGGACTTTTCCACTGAACTGAGCTGAACTGCAGGCAGTGTTTACACATAGCAGAGAGAAGACATGTGTGGAAACAAATGAAACATCTAAGTAGTAAAACATCTTCAGTATGTTGAGTCTCCATTTTTATAGCATGTTGGATGTGGTGACTCCAGGGTTTTTTTTGTTGTTGTTGTTTTTTTCTGTGTTTGACTGCAAAAAAAAGAAATCCTCTCTTCTTCTAGCCATGGCTGTGCTGTTTCTATAGAGGGGCAGGAGTTTTTTCTTATTGCAGAGAAAAATGGTAGGAGCAAATAACACACCAAAACTACTTGGGGTTTAGAGGGTTAATCAAATATCGGCTGATCAACTGTAAAACAATGATTATTAGAATGCCAAACAGTCCAAAGAAATTTCACAGAATAGAGAAATGAAAAGCCTATTCTGCTTCTAAAACCAGAACCTGTTTAAAAAGAAAAAGGTGCTGGACACTTAGACACAGTTACAAACTGTATTAAAGATGCAGCTATGGTTTGGTGTTAGACTTTTGTAAGGAACTGAAACAAACCAGAAGTTAAAACTGAAATCCAGAATGCCTCCTACCGACTTTTGCTTTCCTTCTAAATGTTACTAAGTCCAAGGTCACATACTTCTTTTAGAGGACTCTGTAGAACAACAAAAAAGTCTGAAAGGTTGCCAGCCCCAACCCGCTGTACTTTACTTTGTTGTTTACTT